GAGAGAGACTATAGAGAATTAAGCATAGGCTGTTCTACAATCATTTCAGCCTGCTGTCAAGTTAAAAGCTAAATTAGTCACAACTGCCCTGGAGATAAGAAAAACAGGTCTGTTCTCTCAGAGCCTTGTGAAATTGTTTGGGATAGCATCAGCTTTCTAAATTTACCAGTTGTTCTCCAAGTTCAGGAATATCCTGATATTCAGAGGAGTAGGAGAAAAGGTCACATTCTTTCAGTTTCCTTATCAGTATGGAGAGAAATATGCATTATTTCATATGAGGTTTACTTTTAGTATGTCCAAAGTTTATTTTTAGAATGTCCAAAACTCACTAGCATGGCTGTTTTTAATATTAAAGCAATGTATATACTATTGGCTATGTGATATTAAGCTTACTTTCTAGCCAATGGGGCATATAACAGTATAGTTTAACAGTTAAAAATGAAAATCTGGAGTTGGATTGCCTACAATGAAATTTAAAAGCTTTTTACTTATTTGCTAAATTATTCTGGGAACAAATATTAACCTTTCTGTACTACTTCCTCATCTATAAATGATAATATTAATAATACATATGTAACAGGACTGATGAATTTAAAGCATTTAAAATAGTACCTGACGTACACTAAGTGCTCAGGAACGCACACATGTGGGTGTGTATATATACACACACACACACACATTCTCTTTCTCCCATTCTTTCAAAGACCTCCCAATATACCTCTTTCACTTTCCTGCTTCTACTGCCAAAACACCCAATACTTTTGTTGTTGTCAGTCTGGATGTTCCGGTTTTGAATATAGATACTCTGGGAATACTTCTCTGGGAGTTCTGCCTCCAGCTGGTAGGAGAGGTTATGAAGAATGCATACAGAGTTCTCTGTGGCCTGGGAAAGAAGGATATGAATGTTGATTAAACACATATACATATATTTTTGCATTTTTGCAAGTGTGATATCACAGGACTTACTAGGCTTTACATCTTGTAAGGTTTATTGGATGGGGTTCAGTGGAGACCTGAGGACATAGAGTAAGTATGATTAGAAAGGCTACAGCTGGATCATGAATGGTCATGAGCACAATGCTAAGGAGTAAGGGCTGATTAAAAAAAAAAGAAGAACCTACCTAGTTAACTTTTTAGAGAGTGTATCCAGAATAACTGTATGTTTTAGAGGCATATCTTAGTAGCTATGTAGAGTTGAAGACTGTTGTTGTTGTTATGTGCCATGGAGTCAGACCTGACTCATAGTGACCCCTCCTTGGGTTTCCGAAGCAGTATCACTAGGAAGTAGATTGCCCAACCTTCCTTCTGAGGAGTGGCTGTTGGGTTTGAACCTCCTGCCTTCTGGTTAGCAGTCAAGTGCCTTAGGCACTGTTAGCAGAAACTGATTAGGAGTTTATTACAATAATCAGCATGAAAGATGCATAAATTCTAAAGATCAGAAGTACCAGCACCAGAGAGGAGTAGATGAACTAAAAGACATTTCAGAGGTAGAATGTGCATGGATTATTATGCAGTGGGTATGTGAGGGAGGACAGGCAGTCCAAGATTACTCAGATTTCTACCTTCATTTAGTGGATGGTGATAATTATTAAGAAGGACTACACAGAGGAGAAGCAAGTTTGGAGAAGTGGGAAGAGACGAATCTAAGCTCATTCCTGAACATGTAGAATCTGGGCTTCTTTCAAGTATCTAGGTAAATCAATGCAAAAGGTAGTTTAAAATTTGTGTCTGGAAATTAAAAAGAAAAATGGGACTAGGAAGATTTTAATATTTCTAAGCAGGTATGAGGAATCCTAAACTCAGCAAACGCATTAATGACTAAATTTAAAGCCAAGCAGGTACTTCAGGTATACACTGAAGAGTCTTAGTAAGACAAAATAGATAATTTGGTGTGTGAGATATTTAACTTTTGAATTACTTTGTCATCTGGCTGGTAATCTGCAATGGTTCCTCTGACATAATGGACCAAGGAGTCAATCAGTCCATCACACCTTCTCATCACTTTCCTCCCATCAGGGCCAGCAGAACTCATGTTTCTATGAGGAAAAATAAATATAAATAAATATAATCACAAGACTTAGTCTTTGTATCCAACAGGTCTTTGTTTCAAAGCCTTTGATGCTTCTTCCAGGTGTCTGGTAAATTAGCAAATTTGCAAAAGGGTCATAAACTTGACCTGAGGCTAATACATCATTAATTGCCTAATGGTCACCAAGTGTAGACACAACTTCTAAATATAATCATATATATGTTAATAAACAATGTTAATAAAAGTATACTGTCTACCACACTTCAAGTATCAAGGTCAGAACATTTACTTAATCTTCATCCCATTTTTCAGACTATAGATATGAGGCAAAGATTTTGCAAATAAAAAGAACAAATGGCACACCAGACATAGCAATATACTGGCTGTCCATATGTCAACTTGTTCCATGTAAGTAATCTAAAGTTACATAACTTCTCTGGGACTCAATTTCCAAATTTGTAAAGACAGAGTGTTGAATCATATTATTTTGGGGGTTTGTAGGTTTCAGTATTATTATTGACAAGTGTTAAACCAGATGCTCTAAAATGTGATGAATCTAATTAAAATGGCAGAGAAATGTTACAGAAAATCCAGAGTTTTACCGTGTGTAAGACCTAAAGCAAAACGTGTCCTATAAATATCTTTGCACTTAGTCTATTTCTAATTTTGCTAAGCCTTGACACCTTTCTATAAACAGTAACTAAATCTACAAGAGCAGGTTGCTTCCTTATAGAGAACTGAAGGTTATCAAATACACACAGCAAAGCGATGCATTTGGGGATCACACCTGAGATTCAGATCATGTTTATATTCTGGTATTATAAAAAATACTATATTGATATTTCCTTTTAGATTAAGTTTTTCTTGTTAGTTACCCTTTTAATACATTTTTTTTTTCTAAAATATGATAAAACCTCTCTCAACAAGAACAGCAGAAGAATAGTGCCTCTGATTTTTAGAAATTTGAGACTTACCTCTTTTCTTCCCTTGCCAACTTTAATTGCTAATAATCATTCCTGTAAAATTTATCAGAGCAGCTTCTTTTATTGGCAGGCAGAATATTCAAATTGTATTCCATACTTTTTGTTTACAACGTCTCAGTGTCATTCTGAACATCAAAAAGTACTACAAATCTGAGAACTTTGTGACTCTTATTTTCATCTTTAAAATAATGCAATTGTACTAAATGGTCTCAAAAGGCTTTCTACCCAAAATACTGCTGTCAATACATATTTGTCAAAGAACAAATGTACTGAGCATTATATCAGCAACTAAAGGGAAAAAAGGAGGATACACAATGTTGTAGCCTGCTCCCACGGAGATTATACCATTTATAGCTTTAACTGCATGAAGCTGACAATACTTGACTGATTTTAACCCACATAAATGGCAATTTCATGATTCAACTAATAGTTGAGGAGATAAGACTATTCACTTTAAACTAAGAATATACCAGTAATTTGATGTTTGCTGAATTGATACAGTGAAATTTTTTATTTTAACAAAATCCCTTCTATGTCTTTGGATCTTATTTGACTTTTCTAATTAAAGATTCACTTATTTAATTTTTACTGTACCTGGAAAAGTTGCCTTTTGTCCATAAAGAAAAATAATGAACAGATTCATAAACTGTAAGTAAGACCATACTTACTATATCTTTTCCTCAGGGAAAAAAAAATCATTTTAACTAAGATCCTCCATCTACTCTCTGAACTCTTTAAGAATAATGAGATTGTAAGGAATTCAACAGAAACTTTAAAAGGCATCTCTTCCAGTTTCTTTATTTTGCACTTGAAGAAGCTGAGGTCCCAAGAATTTAAGTTACTTTTCCTGGATGACTGGAGAGGAATGCTAATCCTTGTAGGGTGACTCCAGAGAAGAGGCCAACCTCACCTACCATTCATTTTGTCTGCCATTTGTTTAGCAAATATGTCCTCAATACCAAGACAATGTTATCATATGTTCCAAAGTTTCACTTTGACCTTTGCAACCTTTGGTTTGGAGAGGTGGCAACAGTTTAAAATTGCTCTGGCAAATAAATCAAAGGGTCTTTCTCGCAAGTGAAGCCCACTACATACCTTGGAGTTGGATAACTTAGCTTTGTTTAACTTCAGAGTGTTTATTTTGAGTCAAACTGGTAATTCGATTTGGCAGTACTGCCAGTTCACACGCACTGCTGTCTTGTAATTTGGTATTATCCAGACTCTACTTACTTGAAATGGGACTTATCAGGTTTATTTTGGCAGTTGATATCTTTGTTGACAGAAAGTGCACGGAACCCTTTTGCTTCAGTATTTGCTTCTGCATATCAAAAATAGTTCCCACCCTACTGAACTGCCCAGAAATATAATGATAAGGGTAGATTATTTTATATAACTACACCATGAATAGAAGTCATTGTACATACAGAAGGGAATTTGTTAGAGTAAAATGAACCAAAAACCCAACTTGTTGCCACTGAATCAATTCCAACTCTTGGTGAGCCCATGTGTAGCACACTGAAAATAACCAACAGTAATTAGAAAATGACATATTCATTCTTATGTATTTTTTTTAAAAGGTAATTTTGAAGTCTGTAGGAATAAAAAATTATCATGGCTAATCTTAAGCAAAATTGATATAATGTCTCTCCTGAATCCTGAGAAGTTTTTTTTTTTTTTTTTTACTGTTTCTTGTATGTAGTCCAATGGAAGTTTAATATGGAAAAATACCCCAAAATTACAAAAGAAATATACTAAAACAATCACCTTGTTGAAAGTAGAAGAAAATGGGCATACTAACACAGTAGTTAATAAAAAGTGATCAGAGTTATAAATAGAACCTATTGGAAATGTTTGATTTAGTGTTTATGGTTGAATGAGATTAAATGATAGGCTTATTTCCCCTAGCTCTGGTGGCATAGTGCCTAAGGCATTTGACTGCTAACCAGAAGGCTGGTGGCTCAAACCCGCCAGCCACTCCTCTGTAGGGAGGTTGGGCAATCTACTTCCATAGTGATACCGCCTCCGAAACCCAAGGAGGGGTTGCTATGAGTTGCAGTCGACTCAAAGGCAGTGAGGTTTTTTTTGTTCAGTCTAGCCCAAGTCTAAGTAAATATGTGGGTACCTTTCAGGAGCAGAAAACCTCTGGTTTCCTTTCATTGCTGAGTAAGGTTGTACACCGAAATGTTAAAATCAGATCCTTGGATTGGGAGTGAAGAAGATAATCTGCTCTTCACATAAATGCAGGATTGTTTTGGAGCTCTTCCACTGGATCTGTAGGTTATGTATGATATTAGGAAGAATTTTTTCTAGCACAATGACTTGTAATGAGCAGGAAGAAATATAATCTGAACCTCTGACTCCGAAATGGTCACAGAGTTTCACATATTTAGAAGAAGTCAGATGTTTTAACTGATAGCAAATCTGTGATTAATTCTTTTGAGGACCACTTATCTCACACATTCCTGAGTGTCACAATGAAAAAGAGAACAGAAAACAAAATACCTTAAGCCTTGCTAGAATTAAGAAATAACTGTATGTCTTTGTCAAGAGTAATGAAATGTGCATGAACCTTAAATTCACATGGTAAACTACAAGATGGACAATATCAAATGATAGAAACAGATACAATTCTGTGTGTGTGTGCTATACATTATGGTGGGTACTTTATAAATAGCATGATTTGTAATTTTCACAAAATTCCTTAACTTAAGGTATCTTAAAATGTCATTTAGAATCTTGACTTGTGATCCTCATTTAAAATCAAAGTTAACTTGCCTATAGCAGAAATTTACTAGCCCTTCCATATAAGGTTGTGGGCGTGGTTACATGCATTCATCTGTTGAAGTCACCCAGTTTACCAGCACTGAAATGAAGTTTGTTACAACGCTGAATGTCCAGTTTGGTGCTTGGTATATGGTAAATTGCCCTAGGGAAATGGGTTGATATGAAGTGTTTAAGAGCCTATAGCTGGTTACCAGGACATGAGGAAATGATAGACATTAATAGGGTTGTAGTGCATCTTTTCAAGCTATTTAAGCAACAAAAAAGTAAGTTTAATAGAGATAAAATGAAAGATTTTTACTGATAACAGGTGTGGTTTCCTACTAAAACAAAGAAGTTTACCTGCATATTGTATGCAAGAACTGCTGGCTTTGGGTCTGTCTTCAAGGTCTAACCAGCGGACTGAGATAGTGATCAACTCAGTGGTTTTAAAAACTTGTGGGTGCATCCTTGTATTTACTAACAATTATAGGTTTTCTCATATGGTGTATTATAAACTGGGCTGTTGTTGTTGTTATGTGCCAACTCATAGTGACCCCTCCTTGGGTTTCCGAGGCAGTATCACCACAAAGTAGATTGCCCCATCTTCCTTCCGAGGAGTGGCTGGTGGGTTTGAACCACCAGCCTTCTGGTTAGCAGTCAAGTGCCTTAGGTACTATGCTAC